ACAGGAAAGACGATGGGTGACAATCTGAGGAGAGCAGAGGACAAAAATAGATGGCGAGAGCTGGTTTTCCAATGCAGTGGTGCCCCAACGGTTGCCCCAACCACGGGATAGAAGAAGAAGAAGTAGGCTACTTGTGGAGTCAAAATTGTCTGAGACAGCCACCCCATTATCCAAGGAAAAACGCTTGTCTTAGCCCAAAAGTGTGAAATTAAGACATTCTGTTAATTTTAACAAAGAACGATTTAAAGGAAAATAATCAGAAATTATGCAAAAGATGATCAAATTTTGCTAAATTAAGCAGGGAGCATAAAACCACCGGGACAGATAAAGTCCTTCACCTTCCCAACAATCCTGGAGCGGTATCCAAGTTTGTTCAGGTACTGGGGCAGTAGCGTCTCATTCAGGGGAAGTCCGTACGGCTGGGCTCCAAATATGACATTGTGCTGCATACCTGCGCAAAACACAAACAACTAACGAGTTTTAGTTTTGTTTTGGTGAGAGTTTTACAGCACCTGCACTTGCTTGCAACACTAACAAATAATGAGTTTTAGTTAAGTTTTGGTAAGAATTTTACAGTTCTTGCAATACTGATAAATAATGAGTTTTAGTTAAGTTTTGGTAAGAATTTTACAGAACTTGCAACGAAATAAGGTCATATAAGTGCCAAAGATTAGAGGAGTTACAAGAGAGTAACAAACACAAAAAAAAGGAGGGGAGATAACGATAGATGTTTGATAGGAAAGAAGAAGCAAACCGCACCAGAGCACCCCCGCCAACCACCCACAAAAAAAAGAGTTTAAGATTAGTTTCGGTAAGAGTTTTACAGTACTTTCCACACAAAAAAAATTGAGCAGTGCACTACTTGTGGGCAGATGGATGGGACTGACATAGTAGTAGTTCAGAATTGAATGTCAAAACAACAACAACAATACCAACAACAACAACAATACCAACAACACCAAGAACAACAACAACAACAATACCGACAACAACAACAACAACAACAACAGCAACAACACTAATAACAACAACAATACCAACAACAACAATACCAACAACAACAACACCAACAACAACAAAAACAACAACATTAACAACAATAACAACAACAACAGTAACAACAATACCAACAACAACAACAACAACAGCAACAACAACAACCCACCAGTATGTATAGGATGTCTGCCAGTAAGTAGAGCGCTCCGTGTGGGTGTACAGATGGGACTGACGTAGTAGTTGTTCAGAAGTACGCCGTTATACGCCAGGAAGTCAATGTTGGGCGTCGGGATCTGGTCAGACCCGTGGAAGCTGACGTCATTATAACCCTGGAACGTAATAATAACAATAAATAGCATTTATACTGCGTATTTTCCATTTTCTAAAAAATGCTAAATGCCCATTCCATTAAAAAAGACATCACATCTTAAAAGTTTATCAACATGTGTGCGTACGTAAATAAAAACACAGTATTATGCATACATATTACGTTATATATGTATAAAAAATCTCTATGAGAAAAATAGTCTCGTAGAAGAGATTGATCGTCACTGTTATTGTCATTATAGATGGATATATTTGATGTCATTGTGAACATACAACAAAACAGATTGGGTTGTTGTTTTTTTGGGGGGAGGGTTTTGGAAAGTGTTTTACGGCGCTAGCAACTGCATTAAAAGCCATATGAGCGCTTGACACATTAAACGTTTCCAGTTGGTAGGAAATTTCGGTACTCTTATCGATTTTAGACCACCAAGGGACCTTTAGCGAGCGCATCTTGCAAGCGAGGCCTCCTGGCAAAAATCAGGACTGGTCACTTCCCTGAGTTGCGGGCCTACAAAAATAGAATAGACAAAACATCAGACCCAACCTGTCCATTTAACAATTTGTGCAGCGAGGAACTCCAAGATTTGGAGCACTGGCTGCAGAGACTCCTCGCCACGGAGGTCGGGCGGAGGCATCTCTTCGGGAAGGATTCAGGGAGGTTGGACTGCCTCATCCGCTACCCAAGCGAAGAACTCTTCGGGGCTCCAAACATTTCAAACGGATAGGCTACCACACACACACACGTAACAGCAACATCATCATTATTGTTATCATTTTATCATCATTATTATCACCATTATCATTATTATCATTATTATTGTCATAATTATCATTATCATCGTTCTTTTATCAACATAATTATTATTATCATCATTCTTTTATCATTATTGATATCATTATTGTTATTTTTATTATTATCATAATTATTGTCCTTATTATCAGACAGATGTAGAAATTCATTGGTACCAACTGCAGTGAG